ATTACAAATTACGTAAAAATATTACTCATAAAATTGTAACTATATATATATATTGAAAATAACTTAATAAACTATGAATGAAAATATATCTGAAAAAAACATAGTTAAAATTATTCTGTTCATCTGGTTGGATCTGATTTCAGCCGTTTTTGCTTCCTGGGAACAATGGTGAGACTTGGTTTAAACTTTGAAGGATTGTAATCACTCGTAGCCTGGGGATTAAGTTAGCCCAGTTCTTGGGTTTCCTGAGGCTTCAAAGTACTTACTTGGAGAAAGAAGAAGCATCAACCAAGGTCGGTGAAACAAGCGCATAACCTGTTTGTTAAAATGCCTGAATCAGAGTTTCTTCTGTTTTTAATTTTCATTCCCTGCAAATTAGCAGTATTGCAATGGTTATGTTGCAGGCTGGTTTACCCAGTTTTCTTTCTGCACCATCGTACATTCTTTTACTGGGAAATTGAAGCTTCAAGAACCGGACGCCATGGCTATTGTGAACTTCTCAACTAAAGCTTTCTCTGCACTGCGGTTCAGTGCTAATGGCATTTTTGGAGCTCATTGTAAATCTCTCAATTGGGTTCCCATCAAGAATACAAGTATGCGGCACATTTTGACTTTCCTTTTTTCCTTCTAATTAATGCTACAACGTATATGCATATACACATAAAGTGATTCACATGTTTGCTAAAGAAGAATAGAAGATCCATGCATTGACAGAAAATGATAAAAGTTCATATAATGTAAGTGGGAACGTTTACCTATATTTTCAGTATGGGTAGATTCAGAACTTGCATAAGTGGGAATGTTTATCTATATTTTCAATATGGATAGATTCAGAACTTGCTTAAGTGGGCATACTTGCCTATACTTTTCATATGGGTAGATTCAGAACTTGTTTAATGTCCTCTAGGTTTCAGTGTGAAGCCACTTCTTGTTCAAGCAAAGGGACAAACCAAAACAGAAAGTGCTAAAATTCGAAATAGAAGGATGCGAAAAAGGGTTAGCATTTTCTAATAGTCTATGAAGCTTTGCTATTTGTTATATGTTCAGTTCGCCCTCTTTTCAGTTTCTCAAGTGAATTCTTCTAGTTGCATTCCTAGAATGATTTGATGAGTTGTGATTGTAGTTGAAGTGTGGGATTCATTTACTATGTTTCCTTTTCTGTGTTTGAGCAGTTCAATGGCACTTCTAGAAAACCAAGACTTTCAGTTTTCTGCTCAGATAAGCAGCTCTATGCTATGTTGGTGGATGACCAAAACAAGAAGTGTTTATTCTATGGATGTACCCTGCAAAAGTCCATTCGTGGTGATCCCCCTTGTAACAACATCGTAAGTATCATCGCATCAGGTTTAAGGAATTTTAGCCATGAAAACATGGGTGTTTATACCCTGTTTGGTGCATGAACTTTTTTTCTTGTTATTTTCTATGCTCTAAATGGTTATGCATAAAAAGAACGTGTCACACTTGAAGATGAAACTAGTAATTAGAAAACAGTGATATAAACATAACATGAGGTTAAACAATGAGAACTGTTTCTTTAATATTTTTTGCAAAACCCATTTTTATTTATTTTTGAATCAACACATACATACTCCGTTTTACATATTTTCATGCATACATATAAATTCTAAGAAATAAAAATTAGAAATATTTGCATGTACCACCAGTCTTGATAAATGGTCTTATAGTGAAAATATTGTGAGGTTGTTGTCTGTGCTTTTTTTTTTTTTTTTGGTGTCAAATTGATTATCCCTGTTTTCAGGAAGCTGCTAAACGTGTTGGTGAAGAGCTTGTGAAGGCTTCCATTGATCTTAAAATTAATGAGGTATCATCTTATGATCGCAATGGTTTTGCTCGCGGGGAAAGAATGGAGGCTTTCGAGATTGCAATTGCGCAACATGGGTTTTTACCACGATAGATTTCTTCATCGTATTCTGTAATAATGTGGTTCTTCGTGCTGCACCAAACGTGGTTGCATTTTGGGTTTGTTTGTATAATGCGAGGGAAAAAAATCCGACTTTGCTTAGTTCTTATGAGCTATAATTTGTGAGAAAACATGGAGAAGAGAAGAAACTTTCCTAATAGCATCTGCAGACTCTCATTGGAAAATGCATACAGAAATGAAGAAAATACCTTGTACTTTATTCGCATGTCTCCTGGCTGATTGCATTTCAGTATTGCTATTACTTACCTTTGGTATGGAACAGTATAAATTATCTTTCTTCAACAATATTTTTAATTAAAGATGCACATAATTTACTGAGATGTCTTATTTGACATTCTTTAGTAGATATTCCCACAATCTACTCAGTATATTGAAAGCTTGGTCTAAGGGTGTCATAGTTGGAAAAAGTATAATATACTTTCACCGATATACACTAAAATAAGGGTGAGAAATAAAGAGGCTTAAAAGCGTTGAGTTCAAAATAAATAAAGAGGCAGGATCAAGGAATGTAAAATATGTAAAATCGTATTCTAAATGGTAAGAATACAAGGAACCCTCTTTGACATCTAATTGACACATCTCTAGGTTCTCTAGCATGGTATGTTCTATATGTATCTAACTATAGCAAGCAGGTGCCCTATGTATATATGTACTAAACAATATATATATATATACACACACCCTATAGAAACCACCTTCCCTTATCGCCAGTCCCCACAACTCCCATCTCTCTCCCCTCCTAAAAAAAAATCTTCTTCCATCTCAACTTACACAGCCTGTAACAAAATTCAACCAAGTGAGCGGCCCTGATTTCTCTCATCAGTGTTCTTGTACTTCTGAATAACCATGTTGATGAACATCTCGGTGCTCATAGATCAGTAAATTATCTGTCAATTAATGTATATAACTATGCGGATCAATGGGATCAAGCATCTATGAAACTGCCTCTTTCTGGTTCTTCTGAATTTGCTTACTATTACTAGTTACCACAGCATGTGGCACGTTTTGTTTCCTGAAGTTTCTGCCACAGGCATAGAATCTCTCTGGGACCTTGATAGTGGGCAACAACATAGCCATCCTTACATCCCTCGTTATAAACCCTGCCTTCGTTTTCATACCGCACTTCTAGACCGTCTTTTTTCATATCCGCAATCCAGATGCCCATTGCCACATCTTCTAGCTTAAACATCTGCCATATGAAAAAAATGTTAAATTCATCACCCAGACTGTTGTTTATTAAAAATGTCAGTACGTCACATTAGAAAAATAATAGACCTTCCAAGGAGTAACCAAGCAAGCAAAAGATAGCCATTAACATCAGGGCTAGGGAGTGTCACTGAGGTAAAACAAAATGGGGAAAAGATGGCTATAAAATACCTTTAAACTGCCTCTTTTGTATCTCTCATAGACTCTCTTCGCTATGTCCCGGGACACCACATAACCCGGACCATGTGCCCAAGAGGGATAAGTACCTTCGTGCCACTCCTTTTTCAGTTCAAAATGGAAGGAAAAAAAGAGTGAGAAGCAAGAGACAAATATTCACTTTAGAATTGCTACTAAAGAGGAAATACTCAAAGCTTAAAAAATAACATTGCAGTTATGCTGAAACCAGATTAACGAGACCTAGATCAATTGTTACCTGCAAAACAATAGTAAACAAGACACGAGCAAATTGTGCAAAAAAATAGAGAACACCAAACAAAACCGGCTGTGCTACCAATCATGTAATATTTATTGCACAAGGTTGAATAAACATAACATATCCAAATTGGGCACACCATTCTATGGAACCAAAATTTCATACCAGAGTATGCTTCTGTTATAATTACTAACTATCAACAAAGATTTAAAAGGCTATTGAGCCCCTGGAGAATTTTTTGTTTGTATACTAGCTTCAGAAACTAAGCATGCCCAAGAGTAGATCATTACCTCAGGGCTAATATACCACTTGCTATCAGTATTCCGATCAGGTCGAGAATCTGAATCGATAAGTCCATACAGCAACCCATCAGTTACATTTATGCCCCTTATAGAAGCTAACACTTCGTCAACACGAACAAATGCATCATCATCAGTCTTCATGATAAATTTTGCTAAAGGAACTTCTGTCTGTTGAAGAGAATGATATCTATGAGGTAAAGGAAGGATTATCCTTGTTTGAGGATGAGAAAACACATTACCCCAAAGATGCAGATGGCCAAAGTTTTCCAGGTGATGAGACTGTAGTAATCAACAAAAGGCATTAGCTGCATGTCTTGATACGTATTTGCCTCATTCCAAAGTTCCTGATTCACTATTTGGTTTTTATGCTGCAATACCCCACAAAAGAAAAAAACACTTCATAAGTGATTCAGGAACAGGCTGAACACCTAATAGAAGAGGGACAAACCAGACCATTTCCATCACAACAATCCTTTTGGACAAAGAAACAGAACAACATGCAAAGCTCACCAGACCAACAAAAAAGCGCACAGCAACAGCTCCTGACCGCACAGCAGCATACTGCATCCATGTCCTTCGAACAGCCATCCTTTGTTTAAAATTGTTTGCCGTTGAGAATACACCAACAAAGATGTCCAATGATCTTTGAGCGAAATGAGAGGTGCTTTTAGTGCTTCTAGATCGATGGCATG